CTAAGCTGTGGAGTTTTGTGAGAAAAAATTCTACTTTGTGAGCTTCTGGCATTAAAGTTGTGAGCGAGCGATTTGGCTGCTGAATAAATTAGTTTGCTCTGGAGCCATCCTTCCTGAGCTAAGACAAAAATGTGTGAGCTGGAGGCTAAAAAACTGTGAGCTAGCTCACACTAACTCAGCTTAGAGGGAACACAGCTCTTAATGGTACATTTCTAAAGTGTGGCTAGCGCATAGGTAGATTACATATAAATGTGCTGTATTCAGAGTCAGACCACTGGTCTCCCCAGCTCAGATTCCTGTCACTATTGGGAGTTCTCCTTGGGGTCCTGTTGACTGCCCTATGGCTGCTACTCAGAGACCTTTTAACTGGTGCCCAGATTGAACTTGTGGATGATACATCTGTAAAGTATACGTTCTGCTCACTGAAACTGGGACCCTAACAGTTGTTAGCATTTGACTTCTAGCGAGACATCCATGTTGAACCAATTGCTTCTTTTCATTTCAGTGCTAGCATTTCTGTCTTGAGTTTTGCTTTCCTGATAATGTGTGTGTGTATGTGTGTGTGTGTTTTCTTTTATCCTGCCTTCTTTCAGGTATTATATAAAATGCCACAAAGACAGCAGACAGATACTGTGCATCTTGCCCGGTGATGATTTGGAGGAAGGTGATTCAACAGCTGGTAACACTAGAGTGATGACAAACAGCGCAGGAAGTGTGCCTCCCTTGCGGGCCATCCTGGACAAGACCGGCATGCTGGGCTTCTGTGTCTTCTATGTCTATTTCATCTCTATCATGATTTTCCCTGCAATCTCCTCTGGCATAGAGTCAGTCACTAAGGACTTGGGGGGCTTGTGGGCAGATAAGTACTTCACACCCCTAACTAGCTTCCTTCTGTACAATTTTGCTGACTGGTGCGGGAGGCAAATCACTGCCTGGATCCACGTCCCTGGACCCAAGAGCAAGCTGTTGCCCACTATGGTTTTGCTGAGAACTCTGTTGGTGCCCATCTTCATGCTTTGCAACTATCAGCCTCGGATGTACATCACAAGAGTGCTCTTCGCTCAGGATGTCTACCCAGTGGTCTTCACGGTATTACTGGGATTCAGCAATGGCTACTTGAGTACGTTATCCATCATCTACGGCCCCAAGGTCACACCTAAAGAATTGTCAGAGTCAACAGGGGTGCTGCTGATGGTGTTTATGCAATTGGGGCTGGCTATGGGCGCTGCCTTCTCTGTTCTCGTGGTCCATCTCATCTAGAAGAGAACTGTGCAAGTCTGTTCTCTGAGCTCAGTCAGTAATGGCATATTTTCAAAAGGGGGGCGGTATGCCAATGTGCAGAGAGTAAATGCTTTCATTTTCTGAGTAGGTGAACAGAGCTGTGTACAGTTTGGGTCACCCCATCCCAAAAAAAGACATAGAACCACAAAAGGGTCAGAAATGGGGAACCAAAATAATCAAGGGGCAGAGACATCTTCCCTGTGAAGAAAGGCCAAAAAGTTTGAGGCTTTTCATTTGGGGGAAAAGATGAAAAATGGCAGGCCATGGTAGAAATTTATAAAATGTGTGAGGTAGAGAGAGAACTGTTTTCTCCTCCTTACAGTTTATGGACACACAATGAAGTTGATGGGCAAGAAATGCAGGACAGACAAAAGGCATATAATTAATTTGTGGAAGTTGTATCTGTGGGATGTGGTGATGACCACTAGGCTAGATGGTTGTAAATGGGGATTAGACAAATCCATGGGTGATAAGGCTGTTAATTACCATTAGCCAACATGAATAAATGGGACCACCATGTTTAGAGGCTATGTACCTCTGCATGTCAGTTGGTGGGGAGGGGGGACTTTGGCCCCCTATGCCCCTGCTGGGCACCTTCTGGGCCATCTGGTTGGCTACTGTGAGGACAGGATGCTGATCCAGATGGACCATTGGCCTGGCCCGTGGGTTGCTCTTGTGTTCTAGTTCTCCGGTGGTCCTGGAAGTGGGGCAGTCCTTACTCTTGGGAGTAGGCTTCTCCTCTGGAACAGGGTCGGTTTCTTCAGATCAATCCAGGAAGGGGAGGGGACTGTCCCCTGGGAACATCCCAGTCTTACCAGCCCTGCTACCTGAGCAGGAGATGTTTCACAGGCACTCTATAGAGCGCAGCGATCCAGGAATGAGAAGAAGAGAGGGAGAAGGGAGAGACCCTCCCTCTTCATTATTTCGAGCCGCAGTCAGTGGCAGACCAAGGCTGTGTACGCAGACTCCCACTGGGCTTCCCCAACCAATGCACATCAGGGGAAATGGCTGAGTCTGCAAGGAGACCAGGGCAATGCTGCAGACCCAGCAATCTCCCCAGTCTTGGAGGACCCGGTGTGCAGTGGAACAGACAAGCCAGGGGCCTCTAGCCCTCACCAGAATCATGGTAAAACCTAGACTGGAGGCGGAGGAGGGCAGGGTGGTAGACTGGGGAAAACCCCCAAGCAAGCCCCCGAGCTATTCAGGGAGGATGAAGAGGAAATTGTCTCCTGAGGCTTCCAACCTCCCCAACCTGGGACAGGCTGGAGTGGGTTAAAGAGCCCTTCCCCCCTCCTTTTTCCCCTTCAGAGGGAAAGTTTGCATGGAACAGACAGGGAGCTAGAAGGCCCAGGGAAGGCCATAGAAGGGCAGGGGAAATGGTTGTGGCCATCTTGGTTCTCTGGACCCTCATGGCAGACTTACTTTTGCTGTCAATCCCAGGCGAGCAAATAGAACATGGCTGCCGGTCAGACTTGCCAGTTCCGTGTTCCCAGAGCTGGATAGCCCAAGCTAGCTAAGCAGAGTCAGCCCTGATTAGTACTTGGGTGGGAGACCACCAAGGATGTCCAGGGTCGCTATGCTGAGGCAGGCAAGGGCAGCTGCTCTGGCCTGGATGGCCCAGGCTAGCCCAGTTTGATCGAATCTTGGAAGTTAAGCGGGGTCAGCCCTAGTTTCCTCTCCAGCTCTAGCTGTCTCTTGCTTTGAAAACCATATGGGGCTGCTGCTTGATAGCATTTCCGCCACCTCCACTGTTTGCCAGAGAGAGGCTATAACAGAATTTTTTTTTGGGGGGGGGTTACACTTAGCAAGTCAGATCTGTTCAGATCATAACCCTCACAGTCCCCGCAAGACTATGGAGAACCAGGAAACAGAGGCAGCAAGGATAGCTCAGGATAGCCTGAGCTCATCAAAAGCACAGTGAGCCCTGGTCAGTATTTGGATGGGAGACCACCAAACAGTGCCAGAGGCTTGATGCAGAGGCAGGCAAGGCCAACAATCTCTGAACATCTCCTGCTTGAAAACCCCAAGGGGTCACCATAAGTGGGCTGCGACTTGATGGTTGCAAAAAGTCCAGGAAGGAGAGGGAGTAGTACCAATGGTACGGTCCTGGCTATTCCCTCAAGAGCTGTATGTGAGATTACTTTCCAAGTACTTAGAATTTCCTCCAGGCTTAAGGGAAATGATGATTTTGACCCAGAACTTCTGGTGGAATATGGCCAGATGATGCACAGACTGGCAGTACCACAAGCAGAGATGCCAGCCCTGACCTGGATGGCCCAGGCTCAACCGCACTTGTCAGATCTCAGAAGTGAAGCAGGGTCAGTCCTAGTAAGTACTGGGATGGGAGACAACCAAGGAAGTCCAGGGTTGCTATGCTGAGGCAGGCAATGACAAGCATCAAACTGCCCACAGCCTTTTATAGTAGGATGAAGGCAGAGTGGGAACACCATTCTAACCTAAAAACTAACCATCAGATTTTTTCCCCAAGCTTTATTTCCTGATACCAGAGGCTACCAAGAGACTCAAGGTGCCAATGGTGGACAAACCCAGGACTAGCTTAATCTCCAGCTCAACAGTTCTACCTGTGGATGCAGATAGGTTGCCCAAGATCCCAGAAATAGGGGATTTCAGCAAGCCTTATGCAAAGACTTTGAAGTCTCAGCCTGCTCCATCAGAATGTCAACTGCAGGCTCGGTATTTGCCAGGGCGGCACATTCTTGGGCATCAGGACTAGCCTCAGCTGATGGGAGACTTCCAAAAGAACTTAAAGACAAACTTAAGAAGGTTGCGTTAGCGACAGTGATTGTGGCAGATACTTCCCTGGACATCCTACAGCAGTTAGCTAGAGCCATGGCATGCAGTGTAGCACCCAGAAGGAACATGTGGCTCAGAACTGGGATGGGGACACTGCAGCACAAGCTAAAGCAGTTCCTTTCAAGGGCATAAACCTTTTTGGAGAGGGACTCGACAGATATCATATGGAAGATAAAGACATATTCTATGTTTAAAAAAACCCAACAACTTGCCAGTCCTGTTGTGACTCCAAAAGGATATCATGCCCAGAGCCAAAGAAGAATAAGGATGCCAGGAAAATCTTGGACCTGAAATGGCTAAACAACTGCATCAGGGCTAGAATGGTAAAGGAAACCACTAGTGTCTTGTTACGGGAGACTAGCAATCACTAAGGATTCTAAATGCTCCTCGTAATTAATTTTTGAAATCATTCCTGTTAATTCTGTTCATCCTAGACCTTTGGAAGTGTGGTGTATGTGTATGGTGCACTTTCTCTCTCTCTTCCATTTCCCAATGGGGGTGATTAAGAATAAATAAGAAGGGGGACCCACGATACTCGCGGGGAGGGGAGCTCCACGTGGAGGAGGAGAAAGCAGCCGCAGGTAAGCCTTTCCCCAGCACCAACGGCGAGGCCCGCGCAACTCCCAGCCGCCGGACCCGCTAAGCCTTCTCCCCCGCCCCCCCAGCACCAATGGTGAGGCCTGCGTGGATCCCGCCGGGTCCGCCAATCTTCTTCCCCATACACACCAACGATGAGGCCCATGTGGCTCCCGCTGGGCCCACCAAGCCTTCTCCCCCACCCCACCCACCCCGCACCAATGGCGAGGCCCACGCGGCTCCCAGCCGTTGGGCCCGCCAAGCTTTCTCCCTCCTCCCCGCAGCAGCAGCAGTGAGGCCTGAGCAGCCGGCCCACCAAGCCTTCTCCCACCCACCCCCAGTGGCGGTGGCGAGGCAGTTCTCAGAGCATTCTCTGCACATGTGCAGGGAACACTCTTTTACTTTGGTGGGGATTTAAATATCCCCCCTATAGTTTTTTAATTGATTTCAGATTTTTCTGCACATCTGGGGATAGCCCCCTAGGTGCCCCCAATTTGCAGATTTAGATATCCACACGCAGGGGACGCCTTGGCTATCCTCCAGTATATATAATTCTATTTTGGTCATGGACTCCCCTGAACATTCCAACACGCTCCAAAATCAGTTCGCTCTCTGATCTGTGAGGCCTCACTGGCCTTTCCCTCTAACATTCTAAACAGTTTGCTGTTGATGTTCTGAGGTAAAATAAATTTCCCCTTAGTGTCTGTTGGGGGAAACCATGGTTGCAAATCTCCAGGTGAGGGCTGAAGATCACTCAGAATTACAACTGCTTTCCAGATGGCAGAGATCAGTCCCCCTGGAGAAAATGGTGGACTCTGTGTCCTTATATCCTGCTGAGATGGCCCCTGTATGACAGCTAATATGATGTAGCAGTCAGGGCTTCAGCTATTAAAAGTGATGTCCAGATGACCCAGATCAGTTCTCTTGGAGACAATGGCTGCTTTGGGCAGTAAATTCTATGGCATTATACCCTGCTGAGGTCCCTCCCCACCCAAAATCCTGCCGTCCCTCAAATCTACAGGTATTTCCCAACCCAGAGTTGGCAACCGTGTAATCCACTATGGAACTACTTTCCAGACCCTTGGAACCCAGAAACCATGGCACAGGAGGAGGTGCTTTTCTACCTTAGCTGCCACTGCATAACACCCCCTCCCCCTCAAAAAGTAAGTCAGGGGTGGAGAGAACCGTATCTGTTACCATGAGGCTGTCCTCCCATTCTACCCACTTGTGGCAGCAAAATGACTTGAGACAGCCCTGCCTTATAGCTAAGCAGAAGGAAAGAAACATGGCTTGCCTCTCTCCATTTTCCGCTTCCCTCTGCCGCACACCAGCCACAGTCGGGGCACTCATCTGGAGCTTCCTTCTTGATCCTGTTGTATTTCTTCCCACAACAGGCATTACTCCTAGTTAGTATATAGATTAGTGATACACTATGAACTTTATTCAGCTAACAGGATTACATCAGGACTTCCTGAAATTCCTGTTTCTGGAAGAAATGAAAGAGGGCATTATGGAATCATATTGACTCGTGACTGGGTGCTTCATGCTTTATCGTTAGGAGCAATCCTAAACAGGTCTACTCAGAAGTAAATCCAATGTTATTCAGTGGAGCTTGTTCCCAAGAGAGTGTCCTCAGGATTGCAGCCTGAATCACAGTGCAAAAGTTATTATAGGTCTGCTTAGTTTTGCTTTCTTCCTACCAGCGAGTTTATCAGAATTAGTGTTGTTTTGTGTTTCAAGGTGAGGAGGTGTGTAGCAGAATTAGAAGATTTTGAACGAAGATACTTCTAGGTCTACATTTTGAACGATTTTATGCTTTTTTCCTATTGGAAGACAATTCATTTGCAATTGAAGGATATCTGCAAAACTTCTTTTGTACCTGGTACGAGTTACAAGGCACAGAAACAATTTCCTTTGTGTTTCACTGCCCTAGAGTTCCTTCACACATAATAGTTTCCAGGGCTCTTTTTGTAGAAAAAGCCCAGCAGGAACTCATTAGCATATTAGGACACACCCCTAACAGTGCAGCTCATTAGCATATTAGACCACACCCCCATGTTACCAGAAGTGTGGTCATCTAGCCACAAGGAGGCCAAATCAAAATTTTGGGAGGCTCCATGCCACGTATCCTACAAAGGATGCAGATCATTCTGCACTGGGGTTAATGCTGACACAAAAGTGATACTTCCTGGGCAATTCTGAAACACCTGCTGCTGCATGCAAGTGGGTGTCAGATGAGATGCCAGTGGGCACCACACTGGGGAATCACAGTGATAGACTGTAGAGGCGATAAACA